TGATGGGTTTTACTAACAGGATATTTGCCGTAGTTGGATATCATCGATATCAAGAGCTCGTCGGCATGGAGCGCGATGCTTGCAGACGTCATGTTTGCCGCCGGGTCCGAGTTGTATCCATAGGTCCAAACCCGGACTGAATCCTTGAAGCTCCCGAGAAAGTCGGGGTCTGAGATCCAGGTTTTGCCAGATTCATCATGGTGCCAGCTTGACTTGGGGGACCCGCCCAAGTCATGGACACATATGAGACTGCAGTATGTAAGCTTGATTGAGACTCTTTAGAGGGTTCTACGAATTCTCACTTCACGAGAGGTCTCCATCCTGGCGGCACATGATTCATGTGGATTGGGTAAACAACGTCGAGGCTAGGGATGATCATGGCGAAGGCACAGTGGGTGACGAGCCACGGGTGGCACGATCGCGATATTTCCTCGCCTCCTCAGTGTCCCCGGCAGCTGGTTACGGGTGAGGTTGACGCGCTGATTTCGTTGAGAACTGTCGATTGCTACATAGACGCATGGCAGTAAGTATCACACCGCCCACATCAGGCTGCAACACTTAAGATGAGGCCATGATGATGACCACAGGCCGTGATCCCTAGGCGGCAACCTCATGTGAGGAGATGTTGCTGTTAGGGCTGAGCGATTGGACGTGACGCTAGCGGGCTGCAGGTGTAGCGGGGGTGAATTCGCTTCTGGCCCCCAACTTGGATCAGGCTTCCTAATGGCTGACATGCATTGCCAGCGCAGCCTCTGCTGACAATTTCATCGTGTGCGGCTGAGGCCTGTTTGTCCGACTCTAGGGTTGTTGTGAGAGGCTCTTGTCAGCCGATTTAAATGGCTGAGAGGTCAAGGTGTTCCATTTGGTGTCACTGCCGGGTTTGTTGCAATACGTCCCATTGTTTGGCTTTGCCGGGCTGTCATTGATATGTCTGCATTGATTCTTGTTCGGGATTCGAGACTGAATTGTACGCTTGCGCATAATTTTATAGCTATTTCTGACAGAACAGAAATTAGCGAATAAGCAACGACACCTTTTTCGAGACCCGATTTATGAGAGGCAATCAACTCCTGGAGCAGATCAGTCAAGCATGCTCATTATGTGACCCTGCCTTAATCCGACTTACAGGAAACGTAGGATCAGAAGAACAAGTTCCGAGGACAGTGGAACAAGCCCGTGGAATTCAATCTTTGCAAAGCAGGATGGAGCTTTGAGACGAGGTTGATAGACTGTGCTATCCGACTCAGGGACCGCCGGACCGGGATGTTGGAGGAGGTGGAAATGACGGGAATACCTTCAAGACCGCCAGTCGAGACCAGCTGGCAGCACTGTCAATCAATTAAACGCGTAGTGGGGCTGCGCGAAGGAAGGCGCGTCATGACCTCAGCGAAGAAAGTGCAGGCGCGTCAACGCCGTGCTCGACCCTTCCTTTCCCGCCAGCCCCCCGGTCGTCATCCCCCACCAATTCTCTACTGCTGCCTTTGCTGCATTCTTTCTTCAACCTCTACGCAACGGACAAGTCACTACCTCTGTGCTGTCGCTCGGAACGCTCCTCAATCCTACAACTGATCAAACAAATCTCCTCGTCATATTAATCAAAGTGCCCATCGGAAGTTCGGCGAAATGGGTATCAAGCATCTCTTCCAGATCATCAAGGAGGAGGCTCCCGATGCGATCAAGGAGGGAGAGATCAAGGCGCACTTTGGTCGCAAAGTTGCCATTGTAAGTCCAGCCCAATCACCAAATCATTTTAACGCCCACTAACTGAGAGCAGGATGCGTAGGCTCGCCGTCCAAACCCTATAGCTCACGCTTGCTAACGAAATCTCAGGTCCATGAGCATTTACTCCTTCCTCATCGCCGTTCGATCCGATGGCCAACAGCTCATGAACGAGAGCGGAGAGACAACATCACATCTCATGGGTCTTTTCTACCGTACACTCCGAATGGTCGACAACGGAATCAAGCCCCTATATGTCTTCGATGGTGCCCCGCCTAAGCTCAAGTCTGGCGAGCTCGCCAAGCGATTCCAGAGAAAGCAGGAGGCTACCGAGGGCCTTGAGGAGGCCAAGGAGACTGGTACCGCTGAGGAGGTTGAGAAGTTCTCCCGGAGAACAGTGCGGGTGACTCGCGAGCACAATGAGGACTGCCGGAAGCTTCTGAAGCTCATGGGCATCCCCTTCATCATTGCGCCCACTGAGGCTGAGGCTCAGTGTGCTGTCCTTGCTCGTGCAGGCAAGGTATACGCCGCCGCCAGTGAGGATATGGACACTCTCACTTTTGATACCCCGATCCTACTCCGTCACTTGACGTTCAGCGAGCAGCGCAAGGAGCCCATTCAGGAGGTTCACATTGAGAAGGTGCTGGAAGGTCTTGGCATGGAGCGGAAGCAGGTATGTCTCTCCCGAATAATGATTGACAAGGGTGAGCGCGTCGTAACTTATTATACGAACAGTTTGTCGACTTGTGTATCCTCCTCGGCTGCGATTACCTTGACCCCATCCCGAAGGTCGGTCCTTCGACAGCTCTCAAGTTGATCCGCGAGCACGGTGACCTGGAGACACTAGTCGAGGCTTTCAAGAATGACCCGAAGCAAAAATACGTCATTCCGGACGACTGGCCGTACCAAGATGCCCGAGAGCTGTTCCTCAACCCCGATGTCCGAAAGGCGGACGACCCGCTTTGCGACTTCAAGTGGGAGAAGCCCGATATGGAGGGACTGGTGCAGTACCTTGTCACGGAGAAGGGCTTCTCTGAGGACCGTGTGCGCTCAGCAGGCGCCCGCTTGGAGAAGAACTTGAAGAGCAACCAGCAAGTCCGCCTCGATGGTTTCTTCAAGGTGATTCCCAAGACAGAGGAGGAGAAGGCTGCGCACAAGCGGAAGCTGGATGCCAAGAACGATGAAAAGAAGAAGAAGCAGAAGTTGGAGAAGAAGGAGAAGGCTGCTGCCAAGTCTAAGCCTCGTGGGGCCTAGATGGACGTAGTGGTCGCTGGTTGGATAAGGTTGGCTAGGTTGCTGCGTGTGGTCTTCCCTTTGAGGATGATTGTCTATCAAAGAAAGGGCGGGACGGAACGGTGCCTTTTACGGATTGATTTAGTGTGGGATTCGGCGTTTGGGGGTCAAAAAGGAGACCCGTTGCTCTTGGGAGGCAATGTGGATTTAATGTCTTGGTAGGGATTGCCCCAAAATGAGGATCAATCTCCATAGCTTGACACCTTTCAAATATAGATTATCTGACAATAACCTGGAAACTCGTCTACAGGCAGAAAGGCATCCGTACAGACAGCCAGCCTCCCCTATGACAATGGTGGGACTGCGCAGACTAACCCACGTGCTAATGAGGTAGAAGACTACTTCGTAGCATGCCGAAGACTAGCCATGGGTCGGTAATTTTGTCCCACGGGGTAATCTACTAATCTAGTAATTACCAACACCGTCCAGGTTCTCCGCGTTCTGCTCGTCGGTGTAGGACGTGGGTTGTCGGGAGATCATGTGCCTGACTCGAAGCGCATTGGATGCAAAGTGAATGCGTATCTTGGATGCTCACCTCTCCGTCTCTATGTACATGCAAAGTCAGGACCACGGGCAGCAAAGCGGCAGCAGAGAGGACCCACCTCACATGACCATCGACGGAATTCCCATTGGCCAGTCACCTTTGCAAAAGATGCCGAGGTTGATCCACACCTCGCGAACCGGAAACGGGCCACCCCTCGATGACATCAGCCAAAGAAGAAGGAGGTGCGACGCCCGAAACAGAAATCGGGAATCACATGTTGCGCAAAGGGAGAGTCGCACCAAGACACACGGCTGCAGTTGAGCACCAGTCGCATTCTTGTAAACTTTTTGATCCAGGCCAGAGGGGTCTTTCACACGCCAGGCGACAAAAAACAAAAGACAATGGACGGCGCGCAAACTTGGGACTGGGGAGAGGCTGCACGAGACCACATGACACGGATTAGCGCACCTAAATGTCGCCAATGGGGACTAGTGCGACGGCTCCCCAAGCTCACTCTGGAGTCTGTTTCCCGTTCGCCATCCTGCGAACCAATCCAATGGCACTTGATTGTGGTTGATTTCGGCCATGGCCAGTCGTGTCCGCCGTAATTTCAGTGACTGATGCTACCCGCGGCCTTAGTATCCTTACTTACTCCGTACTGCAGATTTCCCCACACAAAGGGCCCGTCCCCGAATTTCCGCATGTTTTTGTTTCTGGCTTGATGTGTAGTGTACCAGTATCTCTGCCTGCGACCTCGAGAGGTGTGGGGGAACTTGGAGAATCTTCAGGCCAACAAACACAGATGGATGGTGGCATTGAATGGCCTCGCGAGCCTGGAAGCTGCACACAAAACACAATGTGCCGGTAATCGATTGCATTGCTATCCAGGTAGACTCGTTGCAATGCCTCGGCGCAAAGGTACTTACTTGCATGTCCCGTCGTGCTGCACTGAGGCTGCGGCTGTGTCCGCACACGCATCCCCTGGGTCAAACGTGCAAGGTGACGAGAGCCCGTCGAAAGAGGTAGGTACCTTTGCTGGCCATCTGCACCCCAGCTTCACCCCGAGGCGGGAAGGGGTACTTTCCCCAGCCAACCTGGATGTACTCCGTACCTAAACCCTCCTGGGTAAGCAGGTCCAATGGAAGGTAACCCTCTCCCAGAAACCAAAGGGCAGGTGCCTCTCCCATTTTACCTTGGGCTTACCTTCCCGCGTCCGCAAGCATGTGATTGTCTGGCCTGCGCTTGAGCTGCTGGCCCATTTGCCGACCTTGGCCGTCGCGACTCGTTTCTTTGACACCATTTCCCCAGACACATCCTCTTCCGGCAAGACCTCTTTAAACATTGTTGTCCCCCTCGTCCTTCTTCGTCTTTCTCTCCCCTGGTTCATCTCTCCTGTCATCCCACAGTCCACAGTCAAACAGCGAATACCCATCCGACGAGAGTCTGCCGTAGATAGCACCCACATACTCCACAGCATCGTGCGACAGAGTAATCACCGGTCACAATGTCCAAGACCTTCACCACTGGCGACGTTGCGTCGCACAACAAGCCTGACGACTTGTTCATTATCGTCGACGGCGATGTCTACGACCTCACAAAGTTCCAGGATGACCACCCAGGTATGTTCAGTTCTGCCATTCTCTCTGCCTCTGCTCCAGCCTCTGCTTTCCAAAATGACCCCACGTATGCCTCTTTGACTGACCTCCTCAGGTGGTAAGAAGATCCTCCAGCGCGTTGCCGGAAAGGACGCCTCCAAGCAGTTCTGGAAGTACCACAATGAAGGCATCCTGAAGAAGTACAAGGCCAAGTTGCACGTCGGCTCCCTCGACTCCAAGCCTAAGCCCGTCGAAGCGGCGCCTGCTGCCGCCGCTCCCGTGCCCAAGAAGGCCGCCCCCAAGAAGGTCGTTGCCAGCAGCACCGAAGAGTCCGAGCCAATGGATCCCTTTGGCGACTTGGTTCCCTACGCCGACCCCAACTGGTACCAGGCTGTAAGTTCAATTGCCAAGTATCCTCTGGTGCTTAGCATCCACTGACATGTGTGCCTACAGTACCACACTCCCTACTACAACGAGACACACGCTGCCCTCCGCACCGAGATCCGTGAATGGGTCGAGACAAATGTCGAGCCCTTCGTTGGTGAGTGGGATGAGAAGAAGGAGGTCGATCCCGCCATCTACAAGCAGATGGGTGAGCGCGGTTACCTTGCTGGTCTGCTCGGTGTCCACTACCCTACGCAGTACACCAACAACACCGTTGCGTCGGTGGCTCCTGAGGACTGGGATCTCTTCCATGAGATGCTTTTGACCGACGAGCTGTCTCGTGCAGCATCAGGTGGCTTTGTCTGGAACGTCATTGGTGGTTTCGGCATTGGCTGCCCACCCCTGGTCAAGTTTGGTCAGAAGGCTCTCGTTGACCGTATCCTGCCCGGCATCCTCAACGGTGACAAGCGCATCTGCTTGGCCATTACCGAACCCGATGCCGGCTCTGACGTTGCCAACTTGACTTGCGAGGCTAAGCTTAGCGAGGATGGAAAGCATTTCATCGTCAACGGCGAGAAGAAGTGGATTACTAACGGTATCTGGTGCGACTATTTCACTACCGCCGTCCGCACGGGTGGCGAAGGCATGAACGGTGTCAGCTTGCTGCTTATCGAGAGAGGACCAGGTGTCACGACAAGACGGATGGACTGCCAGGGTGTCTGGTCCAGTGGTACCACCTACATCACCTTTGAGGATGTCAAGGTACCTGTTGAGAACTTGCTCGGCAAGAAGAACCAGGGCTTCAGAGGCATGTAATCGTTCCCCCAAATTTGCCCCGTATCCCTTACTAACATACTCCAGTCATCATGACCAACTTCAACCACGAGCGTATCGGTATCATCATCCAGTGCCTGCGCTTCTCTCGTGTGTGCTACGAGGAGTCCGTCAAGTACGCCAACAAGCGTCGTACGTTTGGCAAGAAGCTCTACGAGCATCCCGTCATTCGTCTCAAGCTTGCGCATATGGCCCGCCAGATTGAGGCCTCGTACGCATGGCTCGAGAACCTCATCTTCCAGTGCCAAAAGATGGGTGAGACCGAGGCCATGCTCAAGCTTGGTGGTGCCATCGCCGGCCTCAAGGCCCAGAGCACCGTCACTTTTGAGTTCTGTGCTCGTGAGGCGTCGCAGATCTTTGGTGGTCTGTCGTACTCTCGCGGTGGCCAGGGCGGCAAGGTTGAGAGACTGTACCGCGACGTCCGCGCATACGCCATTCCCGGTGGTAGTGAGGAGATTATGCTCGACCTGAGCATCCGGCAAAGCATGCGTGTGCACAAGGCACTTGGCATGAAGTTGTGAGCGGCAACGCCGGGGAGAGCAGTGGATGATTAAGAAAGACTATTACGTCATGTATGAATAGATTAGGTTGGATATCTTTTCATTTGTCGGGGCGTTTTGCATGGAGGCAGAGCTCAGTCCAGGAATCTAGATGAATACATGGCTCACATTTATTACTTCATACTTTTTATGCTTTTCGTCTTGGCAGTCTCCCCGCTGACCCAAAGATCCGTCTGTTCCACTTATTCGCTAACTATGGGATACGACGCAGGACAGCGTTCAAGCCAGACGTAGCTTCACACTTCGGTCAGTTCTCAGATCTCTACCTCGGCAATTGCCAGGGGTTGGAACCCATCGTACCACACTCTCCATGACATTTCAGCCGGCAGCACACAAACTCACAATCCGAGATCTTCATCCTCAATCGGCCACATTCCAGCAACACAAGCTGATGTCTCAGGAACTTCGTTTACGGTTTACCAGTCGACACGACCGATCACAGCGCAAGCCACTACCCTCTCAGCCGGGTCCAACTGGCTTTCCCCCTTGACTCCGGCGCTCCGCCACAAGACTCAATGACACGCTCTGTGGCTTCTCTCAACATCGCGCAACCAACTCATATCCCGTTCCCACCCACCCACACGTGGGGAGATGGGGGGTGCCGTAGATCATGAGAGTGGATGCGGCGTCAAAGGACCGAAAGCGCGTTTATCTCAGTACGGCCAAGCTCCGGAAGAACTTTTACGATTTTCATCGACAATCTGCCGTTTGCGGCCATGAAGCAGATATTTCCTCCTCGTATTCACTCAACAGACGAAAGATTTTGCATGGTTTGAGTTCGGGGCCAATGAGGTTTTGAGGGCAATAAGTCTGATTGATGTGAATTTTCTAACTAGATTTTCTTACTAGGTCTTTAAGCTTGTAGTTCATGATGGACACGAAGGAATCCACCAGAATTTCCTCCGGGATACCATGAGCGGCAGTTGATGACTGAACAATCCATCTCCTTCCCCATGGACAATCGCCCCGGGACCAGGCTGGAATGCTGAGTCCACCGGACTTCGGGAACCGGCTGTCTCACGGCGAGACAGTGGCGATGACGTTCTCATAGGGCTTGGACGTGAGCAAGGCTGTCTTCGGCGCCGAAGAGACATGATCCGGGCCGTACGGATACGCTGGCTTGTCCCTCTCGTTGCCCTGGATTGCAGTCGCCTTCCGTTTCCCCTCGCCAGTCTTGTCTCACTCTGAATCGCCTCGCGCAGAGTCGCAGCGATCACCAACATTCCTCACGCCTGAAGATATCCACCAGATCCATCGCGCAATGTCTCACTCTGAACAACTACCTCACCAAACCCACCGCACTTGCCTCTGATCTATCCGGATCCGACGAAATGCTCTTCTCCCCTGGTTCCGTACCTCGCCCGGCGCAACTCTCTTCCCTGGACCACTCGCGTGTAAGCCATGCTCGCTTACAGGTTCATCCCAAAAATACCTCTTCTTCTTACCACATCCGTCCAACTGCCAGTCCCAACTGCCCACTATGGCGTACGCTAAAACGGTCCGAACTGGCAGAGTGCACGAGGAGCTCGCAACATCTTTTGCCGCATGCAGCCATATTCGAGATCTCTGAATTTTCACGATGCTCTTGGCCAAAGATTATCCACTTTGGATGGAGCTCACGAACTGTTCCTGCATGGTCCCACCTACGTTCTCGGTAATGTTCTCAGGAGGATGGGCAGACTTACACCACACGATCAACGGCTATATCAAGTCTCCTTGAACCCAGCCGATATCAGTCCTTTCTTCTTATCCTCATCACAGCAAACACATCTTCAACACCCCCCTTCTCTCTGAGCTTCTGCTTCAACATTCGCTTTCGTCTTTCGTTTTCTCTAGCTCAAGATCAAGAGTCTAGTCAAACAGAACCAACCACCACTCTCGCTTACATCTACAAACCATCAAGATGGTTTCTCCCGCCATTATCCGCCTCGCCGCGGGTGCCGCCCTCTTGGCCGGTGTCAACGGCCAGTCGACCACCTCGACCACCGTCGTCGCTCCGACTACGACCGTGACGCCCAGCACCACCGTCACCGTGGCTAACCCCACGACCACGGTCACCGGCGGCGGCACCACCACCACTCTGACCTCCTCCGCTAGCTCTAGCAGCACGGCTTCCACCGGCACCTCCATCGCGACCAGCGTCGGCAGCTCTACCGTCACGGTTATTGCTCCCACGAGCACCTCGGTCACCACGGATTCTACTCTCAGCAGCGGCGCCAGCACCGTCCCGAGCACCACCGAGACCTCGACTTCTACCGACTCGACGTCCTCGGACCCCGGCGTCCCCACCACGTCGACCACCACCACCGACGTGGTGACCTCTACCATCCTCACGACCTCGGCCCTCAACACCACCGACCCCGGCGTTCTTCCTACCCTTACCAGTTCTACCGTGACCCTTCCCAATAATAGCACCACCGTCATCCCCGTCCCGGTTGATCCCACCGTCACTGCTCCTCCCGTGTTCCCCAACGGGACCGCCCCTATCACCATCCCTCCCCCGGTGACAACCACCACCTGCAACTTCAACGGCACTTGCAATGTCATCACCCTGCCCCCTTGCGTGACGATCACCTCCTGCTACAACGGCTACTGCAAGCCCGTCACCACAATCACCTACCCCCTTCCCCCTGTCGTCACTCCCCCGACAGTGACGACCATCACTCGCTGCAACTTCAACGGCACCTGCTCGACCTACACGCGCCCAGTCTACGTTCCCGCCACGAGCACCCAGGCACCCTTCTACACTGATTGCTCGACCCTTACAAAGACGTACACTACCTGCAACAACGCCGTCTGCAGCACCGTCACCACGACTACTACTTCGTCCTTCACCCGCCAGGGAACCCCTACTCCTACTGGCCCTGGTGGCTCGACTTTGGTCACGAAGCCCTCGAACCCGGCCTCGCCTCCTGTCAACCCGCCTACGAACCCCAGCAACCCTCCTACCAACCCGTCGAACCCTCCCAGCAACCCGTCAAACCCTCCCGCCAACCCTTCCAGCCCGCCTAGCAACCCTCCTAGCAACCCTCCTAGCAACCCTCCTTCCAACCCGCCCAGCAACCCTCCTTCCAACCCTCCTAGCAACCCTCCTAGCAACCCTCCTAGCAACCCTCCTTCAAACCCTCCTTCCAACCCTCCTTCGAACCCCCCTGCCAGCCCTCCTTCCAACCCCCCTGCCAGCCCTCCCGCGCAGCCTCCCGCGAACCCCCCTGCCTCCAACCCTCCCTCCAACCCCACCAACCCTCCCGCCGGCAGCTCTCCCGCGACCACTCCAGCCGTCCCCACCACCGTCAGCGGCACCCGCCCCGGCACCACGTCTCCCACCGCCGTGGTGACGGCCGGCGAGCCCGCTCTGATGGCTGTCAGTGTGATGCCGCTTATGAGCGTTCTTGGTGCGGTTGCTATTGGTATGCTTGTGTTCTTGTAATCTGGATCCTGCAGTGGTTTAGGGATACCATGATCGAGCATAAGTTTGGTGGCACAGGCTTAACAGCAAAAGCTTGATGTGAGAAGGATTTTTCCTTTGTATTGAATGCTCTCGTATGATGAGCTGGAATAGATTTGGTGATAAAATTGGCGAGGAAGACCATGGATGATGGTTCTGTAATGAGGAAGAGAGGGGAGGAGATGGGGAAGAGATAGAATAATGAAAATTATTACTTCAAAATGTTTTTGATCAAGGGTCCCGATAGCTCGAGCCATTTCTTCGTATAACAGTTAACTTAAGTTCCTCTCGTGTACGTGAACTATTGTACGCATCTCAACGTTTAATATCCATTAAAGGCACAGCATTGTCACTGATTTGAAAGACCGCGAACGATAGTCGATACTCTGTTCGGGGTCGTATTCATTGATTCTTTCAAGACTGGCCTGGTCGAATCTTTAGTCCCTCTCGATGGTTTCTAGTTTTTATGAATGAACATCGATGAGAGGGAAGTGTTGGTGGTCACCGCATTGCACGTGTCCGGTCGTATTCAGCGATGAATCGATTGATACTTGGAACACATGGGTATCGAAAACGATGTGATAATATCAAAAGCACCGATCCACAACAGTTGTCCACAAGATACATATATCATTGGTGGCAACCCGTGTCAGGCACTCAATCGAAGGATGACTGTAGAGACTGAAACAAGATCAAAGAGTCATTTGAGAAACGTTTCCAAGAGGCTGACGGCACCGATGACAAAACCAAGGCCATGCTAGAGACAATGCTTTTCTCATGAGCAAATGGCGAAACCCATCTTCCTAAGGCCCGGCTGGAGATTAGCGCAGCCACACGTGACTCTGCATTCACACGATATACTAGGCATCTTAGAGCGTGAGCCCGAAGACAAGATAGACCTGGGAGAGTACATCGCCAGTACACAGCACCTTAATACCCCTTACACGGTGCATTTATGCATGCCTCTCAATTAG